AAAAAGGATGCAGCGAACCCTAAGATTCCCTTCCACTCTGGCACAGCTGTGGGAAGGATTCAGGCTACACAGGCTCTGGGAAGGTGGGGCTGGGGGAGGATTGCTCCCCGAAGGGCCAGAATCCTATGCCCAGAAGACTTGCCAGGTGGGCCGAGGAAGGGGAGAGGCCCGGGCATGTGCCAACACCATCAGCCCAGGGTTGAGGGCTGGAGGGAGGAAGGCAGAGCCCCCCCACCTCTCGGCTCCAGAGGCAAAAGGAAATCAGGGCAGGATTGCGGGTTTAGGCCTTGAAAAATGGCTGCTGGCGTTTGAAGGTGCTATCACTGTGGGTGTCACTCTGTGGGGCCCTAACTCCTCGGAAAAGGAACTGCAGCAGGGAAGATCAGAGTTAGACTCCAGGAAGGACTGCTAGAGCTGCTAAGGGATCTAAGGAAGAAGAGGCGGTGGCAGAGAGCGGGTTGAAGGGGCCTGGAGCCTCTCCCCTCCCCTCCTTCCCTCCCACCCCATTAGAGGACTTGGGTTATAGGCGGCACTAATTCCATTCCTTCTCTCAGTGCTTGAGAAAATTAAAATCTATAACCCTCTCCCCCACCCCACCAGCCTCCAGGGAGCAGACTGCATTAGGAGAAGAAATGGAAACTGACAGCTGTGAGCCAAGGAGGGGGCGGGGGAGCGGCTCTGGAAGACAGAACACCTGGGGCCTGCTCTGCTGTGTCCAGCCCTGAGGGGGAGGAGGCAGGACGGTCCTTCCTAGAGTCTGACCTGCAGCCGTCCTGCTGCAGTGCCAGGCCCTCGTGTGCCTCTCCCTTCTCCCTGATAATGCCTAGTCGGTCTGTAAAATGCAGGGGCCTGGGGCCATTTATAAAGTGCGCTCAGGTTCCCCAGGAGCCCGTAAGTGGAGGCCAGAACAGGAGGGGGAAGAATGCAGGAAAGAACAGGGTCGGGCGGAGGGAGCACAGGGTGGGCGGGAGCTGGCCGTGGGATGAGGGCCAGAAGGGGCCGGAGTTCTAA